TAATATCTGAGAGAATGAAATATCCTAATAAATAAATAAGATAACTAGGATATTGACAAAAATAGAATTAATAACGTCATGCAAATCATGAATAAATGTCATTGCGATGTTTGGGAGTGGTAAAGGTGCTGAGTCGATTTTTTTCTGTTATTTAAGGTGATACAAACCCACACCATTTCTAGATCGGAAAGAACACTTACACCGAAGGAGGGTATATGCACGGCGATACGGCTACGAGTGGGCCACCACCATGTTTACCGCTTTTGTCAAAACGATATGTTACATTTTATGTTTTATAGACTTTAGAAGTTTCAGAGCTGTAAACATTTTTACTGAGACATGTTTCTGTAAAAAAATAAACAAATCAGATCTGCTCTCTTTAAACTTAAGACAGTGTTAAATCGATCCCGTTTAAAGGCATCGTATTGTAACTTTAAGTTAACGCTTACGTTTTAGTAGGGAACGTGACAAAAGAGCACATGTCAAAACAGAACACGACAAAACATTACGGTCAAATCAACACCTGTCAAAACAGGACGTTGTTAAAATAGCACTCGAGAAAAGACACTACCTCCATTCAAAATAGGGACAAAAAAAAAAAAAACACATGCCGAAACAGCACAGCGTAAAAACGTCACATCGACAAAAGAACCCCCCCTCCCCACACACAGACACGTTGTTGATTACGGGCTTTATGTCGCAAAGCAACTATGGCCATACTGCGCCAAGCTTGGTTAGTTGAAACATGCTCAGAACTCTTAACGTATATACATATATATTGTGACGATGAAGACGACGACGCTGCGGCAGTGGTGTGCATTACTATCGCGCGCTCGGCCCACATGCACGGCCCACATGCATTAATTCGGCTTTAATTGAGGACATCTATGTCTTCTCCTGCCGGCCCCGCATCTCCGTAACATTTGGTGGGGGTGCGGGGTACCGATCATCTCGTTCATCTCCATCAACCTTGGCGCCGTCTATGGAAGCGCTGATCTCCAGCCCATAGCCCCCACCTCAATTAAGCCACAAAGACAGGATAACATGAAGAACTGACAGAAGCAAGCGAGGAACCATCAAGAGTGTAACATGGTGACTTGAGAACGCGTTTGCGAGACGATCCTTGTGACGACTGAGACCTACCGGAATCGACAATCCCCTGCCCCTTCCCCAGCCCAATCTTGTAACGGCATGACGGACGTTTCCCAGCCAGGACAGTGTCGTCGCGGGGCTGTGAATGGTGCAGAGGTTGGTGATGCTGCAGAGCGTCTTCCGGCCATGGAACTGCGGCAGGTTCTCAGATTTTGTGGCAGGCCGCAGTGCTTCGTCCATCTGTGTCTTCATCTGTTTCTGTTGTGTGTGCGTGCATGTTTTCCTTCTGTTTCTTTTTTTGTTCGTCGTCTGGGTCGTGCTCGGCTAAGGAGGGGGATAATGTGACGATGAAGACGACGACGCTGCGGCAGTGGTGTGCGCTACTATTGCAGGATAGGCCCGCGTGCACGGCCCTGCCACCATTAAATCATTCGGCCTCATTATGCGAACATCCATGTCTTTTCCTGCCGACCCCGCATCTTTGTGAAAAAATATAAAATTGATATCTATCTATTTTCTTCAGGATTCTGACTTTGTGTTAATGACACGCCAATAGAGTGTGCATATTTGTAACGTGCGCAATATTGTATTAGGTATATATAGCTATCATTGGCAAGATACAAATAATTTGTATCCCCTTGAATATTTTAATATTTAGTGGGAGATGCAATGGTAGGTAGTTAATCATAGTTTGCCTCAGTGCGTTATCGCTCCAAGTGAGCTACATTACAGAGGTCATTATTCTTTCATAAAAATACTACTCTGCGACTTACAATTTACAAACATAACAAAAGACAAGAATGAAGTGTTTAACAGTACTCTTCATTAAATTTGCACTCTCTTTTCACGTTGTGTTTACATAGCGAAAGAAAAGCTGCAGCCTAACAGAGTGTCAATAAAGGGTTTTGTGTCACAGTTGCATAGTATTACAATTCGTAGCTTCTCAGAGATCCTTGAGTAGGGCCTCGAGCCTGACGCAGCACATCCTCTCTGGCGGTATATCACTACGCATACCGTTACTTCGGAGAATTTGCGAGTCAAATGCGTTACACAAAAAACCATGGATATAAGCATCTAACCATTAGTGAATGTGAGTGAATTCAACGGTTGAAAATGGGACCGTACAGCCCAATTAAGAAGACAGAATTAAAAAAAAGTTTCACAGTATGAGGCCACCGTTTACAATTGTCGTTTATAAGAAAAACGGTCTAGTAAGTTTCAAATTGTTACCACTGTATTTTTCTGTCGCTATCAACCTTCCATTCTCCGGAGCTGGTATGGCACATAGAATATTTAACGCCACAGGCTATGTTGTCAATGTGCTTTCTTGACGCTGTGCGGCTTTCGTTTTTTTTTTTTTTTCTTCTTCGCTGTGCTGTTTTTGTAGCTTCTCTTTTGTTGATGTGGTGTTTTGAAGGTGCGCTTTTCTGTTACGAACTATTTTAACACATGCTCCTTTGTCTAAGTCTTGTTTTGACGCTCTGTTGTTTTGACGAGTGCTGTTTTGACGGCGTTCTTCTGTAGTGTATTGTTATGTCGTATGCTGTTTTTCTTAGTGCCGGTTTTGTAAAATGGAGCATTCCTTGCTCTTTGTTTTTCAGTTTCTTTGCTTACAATACAAGAAACCTATACCAATAACAATAGCAGGACACAGAACGACCGTAAAGCGTAGCAAGCAGCTAATATGCGTGTAAGCTTATAAAATTTTGAAAAATAGTAAACGACTGTACGTGCTGTCAACCCGGAGCAAAAAAAAAAAAAAAAAAAAAAAGAAGTACGAAAATCAAGGCAAAAGTAAGCGGGAGCTCAACCTATACGCGACTTTCAGCTCTTCCTGTTGTCTTAAATTACACTTTGCTTCACGTGCTTCTGCGAGGAAAGCCGTGGCAGCAAAAAGGTCCCGAGCTTACCTTCCCCCCCAACATAAACGCAAAGGAACGTAAGGAACAACGTGGGGGGACAAAGCTTTCAGCGCCAACGCAATAACGGCTTGGTACCGTAGGCCGCCTTCCCTGATCCGTGTCCTATAATAAGTTGCATTGTGTGGGGCCTTATTTTTTCTAGTTCAGCTAAATAGTCCTGTTTTTGTCTCGGCGTTCCGCATGAGCTCTTGACAGAAGTTTATGAAGAACCATGCAACTAAGCCTGTTTTCGTTGGACGCCGGAATTCCTTGCTATTTTAAATTTAAAAAAAAGAAAATGTAAACATTGTTTGGCACTGGTCAAATAAAGTTTCGTGTCTAAGTTTATTGAATTTAGAAATAAAGCGAAACATTAGCCTAATTTTTTGCCTTCTAAAATGACTGTAGATGTACTATTAGTTACGGAAGAATATAAGAATAGATTCATTGGAGGCACAAACATGCATTACTTAGCGTCAAAATACAACTCAGTTCATAATTTTCCTTAATAAAGCTCCCATAGAATCAAGAAAACCTCTTTTATAGCTTGATTAGAATTTCTGACTGCCTCGAGGTCGACTTTTGTTATGTCAAATATAATTTTAATGAGTTTAATATGTTAATTTTCAAACAGCGTACAATTATATTTAGTACACTATTATTCGTGTTTATTTTTTTGCCTATTCTTTGATGAAGCTTTATTGATACAATAATTTCAGTATTAAATTCTCAGTATTCTCTGCACGCCACAAGCCATGTTTTTACGTGTTCCTTACGAACCTTTCAGCCACACTCCGACGGATTCACTGATAAAACCCCAAGGAAACTATAACGACAGATTTAGAAACACCGACGCAATATTAAAGTCTGCAGCTTAAAAAAGACATCAATGAAAGCCATTTATATGGCATGGGCTACGCCATGTGTTTGCGAAGTGTTTGTTTAGCTATACGCTTCAGGCATTGGAGCTAAGCTCCAACTAAACGGAACCTAGACTTTGAACTATTTAGGGTTTATTGGTGAGTTGATGTGGTGGGCGGTAGATATGATGTTTCTCACAGTTTTGAAGGTTGACTCTCATGGGCTTTTGATTTTGCTCTTCTTTGCGAAGGAGCGTGAGAAAATCAAAAACGGCTTTCAAGAAGTATACGCGTGATTGCAAGCGCAGTATGTGGCAACCACCAGGATGCTACTGCTGGGTGAAAACTCTGCGTGCTTGGTCGCATGAAACCCAAACTGGGACGCTATGCGTTCAATAGGCATTTTGCCCAGTTACCCGAACTCCTAAAAAATGCTGGAAAGGTAGATAAGCACGTTTCGCGCGCTCACCTATTTGAATTACGTAATAGAAGTCAATAATACAAATAAGACTGAGATACAGACGTGCAAAGTGCCATATCCGTTGAATTATTTAGATTGAAACAGCTACTGCCACAGACACCAACGAGTACAGCGAGCGTTACTACACTCGAGCGTTCCCCTTTGTACTTGGCTTATTTACAGAAAGGTCCAGTGTGCATAGTACATATATGTTCACAGATCCTCGCGCTCTGTTGATACTATTTGCAAGTACAACAGGGTATGTAGTTAGCAGATTTCTTCATTTCAGTGAAAATATAGGCTCAGCAGGTATATTCTGCTAGGAAATCTAAAAAAAAACAAACGTACAAACGCCGACGTATGCAAGGTTGTCATACACATTTACATTGGGGTGGGTTTGTCTCCCTAAAGTAACCATGAAATGAAATATTTTTTTTTTTTGCAGAGACTAAAACACGTGTTATCACAATCTATTTTTTTGCGGCGGAGTTTCCACAACGACGGTTATAAAAATACTACATTGGAAACATGCGGTATTATAGGGTGCTCAACTGACAACAAAGAGAGAAAACTCACATTTCACCATAAACTAGGTCTACGATAATATTTTATGAATAAAAAAATCACTGCTATTAAACAAAAGTAAAAAGTCTCTTCTTTTACTTTTTCTTTTGTCTCACGGTGCAGGGTGCGATACGGGCTTCGGGCACTTGCTGGCCAAGCGGTTGGCAAAGGAGGGCTTCTATGTATTTGCCGGCTGTCTGTTCTCTGACGGTGCCGATGCCAAGGAACTGAGGTCTTTGCCAAACGTACACGTTCTTCAGCTGGACGTCACCAAGGAAGGCCAGGTAGAGCTCGCCTTGGAAGAGGTCAAAAAGAGCTTGGGATCCAGAGGTAAATGTATTCCAATCAAGAGGATTATAAATGAAAACGTCTACTTTGTCGCGTTCAGCTGATCTTTTTTTTTTTTGTTACACGATTTGACCTCTTAAAGAAGGCGGGTTGCCCTCACCCCTCCTGTTGCGTTCTATTAATTCAAAAGATTGAGGGTGGTTCGTCCCGGAGTGGAATGGTACCGATCGCGCGTTATCTTCAAAGCAGTTCATGCAGTGCTACAATTCTTATAGAAGAAGTTCCCATACTTTGGGTGCCTTCATGTGCGCTTTGGCTAGGCTGATGACATCCGGCCATCCTTTTTCACGAACGGTGCCTTCATCTTTTGTTTCAACGCGCGTGGAAAGCATCTGTCGGTACGGGTCCCGGGCGTTCACTGTGCACGGCGACATTTTGTTTAGGGCTATTTTGCTGTACGTTTGCTTGAGCGCGTAGTGTCGGCAGGGGATACTACGAAAAATCTCATCAGAACAAACGGAAGCGTATTGAGGCACCCTACACGTACTAAGTATCCTTGATAATATACACTGGAGTCCTACTAAGGTAGACAAAGGCATATGCGTTGACACATGACTTTGTCTCATCCTGCAGTTGGAGTTGCTATCGTATGGAATGACAAAATGGGTAGAGCGGTGCTATCGCGCTGTCTATAAACAAGACCCCACGAGGCGTGGGGCCGTTCTCTACAAGAGGTATGTGGATTTCGTGTGCTCAGGATCACAAGTCTCGTGAAGCAAAGCTTCTGTGCATGTGCCCTATAGATAGCTTCGGTAGCGTCGCCCTGTGACGCCGGGGCCGCGTGTTGCTGTATAAGTTATACCATATACATGGTGTTTTCTTTTCATTCGAACAATTTTCTTTAAGGTAGCGAATGTTAGACAAGTACCGTCTTCACCGGATATTTTTAGGCTTGGCGGGCATTAGATTCAAAATTAATCGTCAGGGTAAATTGACTAATTAACTAAACTTCGTTGATTAACGTTTAGGTTCTAGGTTTTAGTTGTTATATTGTAAATTCAGTATCGTTTAAAATCACTGTCGGATGCCAGATTAATTGAACAAGTTTGAGATAAAGTAACGCCCTTTTATAATACAAAATTCAATCAACTATCAGTGTTCTTTTGTTTTTTGCTTGATTTAAACGTTTCAAGCGAAAACAGCGCCGTAATCACTGCCCACGTGATGGTTCGAAGAGTGACAAAGTGGTTTCATTTTGCGTCACCATTTCTATTGTCGGCGCATTCATCAGCAACATGCTGCCGAGATAGTGACGGCATGATTGATATGACTTCGTCACTCTTTGAAGCTTTATTGTGGGCAGGGCGTGGGGCGATCTTGCTGAGCGCAATTTTTAAATCGGGCGGAAAAAAAGGGGAAAATTGTTTCGATCGTATAGTAAAAGCCACTACCGTTTCGCATTTCCTAAAACGTTTTTCCACCGTTAATAGTAACTGCCATCTATATTGTAATTCTAAAATCACCACTAAACCTCATGATTGAAAAGAATCGATTAACAAATATTAGTTAATTACTTAACTCACCATAAAGATTATTTCCTCATCCAATGTCCACCGAGTTTGATAAATACATGGCAAAGACGGCATTCCTGTTAATCTCACTTCCTTTGTAAACAAACGAATATATCTCCGAAATAAAATCAAGGGGTATAAGGGGGATGGGGTATACACAAAAAGAATGTCTCCCGTGTAGCGAAACTCAAAGCATATGTAGAACCATTGCGCCGCGGTGGTGCTGTCGAGGCCTATAAAATGATAGCCCTAAACAATAGGCCCAAAAAGTTTTTTTTTTTATTTACCATAATTACAAAGCTTTCGAGCCTACACTCTTGGCCTTGCTCACTACTCTGTCCTAGGAAAGCGGCCGTAGTGATGAAAGGTGCAATGAAATAATGAAGAGAATCACAGTTTACACTATCAGCTCCCAGTGTCTGATGGCCAAACAAGTGCTATCGCATATAAAACACAAGGCGGCGCCGCATTCTCGGGACTCCTTTGATTCAAATGATGACAACACACGTGCAGAAAGTTTGCGAATGCCGTGACTTTGCGCTTTGTCACAGCGCGATTGACCCCATTGGCTCGCACCGTCTGCTACAGCTTACGTAAGGGGAAACCAAGTATACCAGTGTTTTGCCGGCAAATGACCCTGACTCGAAATTGATAATTGAGAATTCAGTATAGTAGACACTGTACACGTTACTGGTCACAGCACAATGCTGTCCAAGGGCAGTTTAAATAACATGTGTTTAAATGCCATTTGATGAATCAACGACGAAGCCCACCATCATGGCTCCGACATGCAGTGATGTTAAGTAGAAAACATCACGCGGGGAGGTTTTATAAACGCTATAATGCGTTGTGCACAGCAGTGGAGTAGCCAGAAAGTAATTTCGGGGGGTGTTTCAAGGCACTGGTGCAATCGCACACGCAAAATAATATATATATATATATACAAAGTTGAAAATCCCAAGTCAGAGAAACAAAAACACGGAAGGTTTATTTCAACGTTTCGGCAAGAGTCTTGCCTTCGTCAGGAATATATATATATATATATATATATATATATATATATGAACAAATATGTGCAGATGAATTAACCGTACTGCATCCAACGAATCAGTTTCCAGGAACCCGCTGAAAGCCAAAAATTGGCGGAGCCAGGATTTGAACTCTGGGCCTCCCAATGTCCGGTCGGGTGTGCTAACCTCTACACCACTCCACCTTGGCTTTCTGGCGTTTCCTACCTGTCTTATTAATGCACAAGAAACGAAATGTATCCAATCGGAGGTGTTCTGGAAGCACACGCCGCCGCGTGGAACGCGGTACGACGCCTAGTGTCACGTGGTACGCGCTGGTTTTGCTCCAGAAATCCTCCCACTGTTTATCTCGCCCCGTGTACATGTAGTATTCTTTGTTTATGAGCTTTAGAGACACGGTATCATCATCATCTGCGAGAATCAAGAGCCACGTTATTGAGTATACAACACGGGCACTTCACATCATCGTACGTGGTCTCCGAGGAGGATATGAACAAATATGTGCAGATGAATTAACCGTACTGAATCCAATGAATCAATATATATATGTATATATATATATATATATATATATATATATATATATATATATATATATATATATATATAATATAACTCAGAAGAAAAAAAAACACTTAGTGAAAACAGCAAAAACGGGCGATTTATTGCTCGACGTTTCGGCCGGAGCCCAGCCTTCGTAAGGAAGGCCGGACTCCGGCCAAAATGTCGAAGAATAAATCGTCCGTTGTTGCTGTTTTCACTAAGGGTTTTTTTCTTCTCAGTTATATACCCACGCCTTCGGCCTCCCGCCACCAAGCCCGTTGTATATATATATATATATATATATTGTTACGGTGTTGTCGTTGAAGGAGTAGACAGTCTCTGTCGGTCGGCTTTTATTTGGAACTGCCGGGCTCAGCTCGAGCTGTCCCGCGCCCTAGCCATTTGTCTGGTGCGCTCTTTTTCTTCATCTATATAACATTACACCCCCTTTTGTTTTGCGGTCGTCCCGACCGCTATTAACAAAATATATATGTATGCTTTTTTTTTTTTTTAACGAGGGTGGTGGTGGTTTATGGGGTGGGTCGGGGGGTGTAGGGCTTCATGCGGGCGACGTGGACTACATCGGAGGCTGCTCGGCGTGGGTCAGTAGTGTCTTGCAGTTGCTGCACGTGGTATGAAAGGTCGGAGAGCTTGCGCACGACTACGTACGGGCCGATGTAGCGGTGGAGGAACTTGGTCGCCAAGCCCTGGTGACGCTGAGGTGTCCAGAGTAACACAAGGTCACCTATTTCATATGAAACGGGGCGGTCAGTCTTGTTAAACCATCGGCATTGGCCTTGCTGAGATGTACGTGTGCGTAGCCGGGCAAGTTGGCGCGCTTCTTCAGCACGACACACGAGATGTGCTACAGTGTCGGGAAGTTCGTCATTTTGACGGTAAGGTAAGAGCGTGTCCAAGAATGTGGTTGGAGTGCGATTATGGAGAAGATAAAATGGTGAATAGCAGTGAGTGTCTTGAACGGCGGTGTTGTATGCGTAAGTAACGAACGGAAGAACAGCATCCCATTGGCGTTGGTCAGACTGGACATACATGGAAATCATATCAGCAATGGTGCAATTGAAACGTTCCACCAAGCCATTTGTTTGTGGATGATATGCTGTTGCGGGTCTATGAATGGTTCCACAAAGATGTAATAGTTTTTGTATCACCTGGGAAAGAAATACTGTTCCTCGATCGCTCAGTATGTGACGAGGGGGGCCGTGTCGCAAAATCATATTGTGTAAGAGAAATTTGGCGACTTCGTCTGAGTTTGCTGACTGTAAGGCAGCGGTCTCTGCATGACGTGACAAATGGTCCATGGCAACAATGACCCAGCGGTTACCGTTGTGTGTAAGAGGAAGGGGCCCCAACAGGTCGACACCGATGCGCTCAAATGGGCAGTGAGGTGGATCGAGAGGATGTAGAAGTCCAGCTGGTGCGGTTGTTGGCCGTTTTCGTCGCTGACATTGGACGCATGATGCTACGTATTTGGAGATGTCGCGGTACATGCCGTGCCAGTAGAAGGTATTGCGCACACGCATATAAGTTTTAATGAAGCCCAGGTGTCCAGCTGTGGGGTCATCATGTAGAGCACATAAGATATCAGGTCGGAGATGTCTTGGAACGACAAAGATCAGAGTAGGACCATCTGGGTCATAGTTGCGACGATATAGTACGTCATTCTGCATTGTGTAGGGGTCAACAAGCCGTTGTTCATGGCGGGTGAGGTGGGGTTTGTTCATACAGTGGAAAATCTGTTGTAAGTGTGGGTCTCTCCTTTGTTCCACAGCAAAATCCAAACTTGAGGTCAAAGCTATTGCGGCAACGGCAGCTGAGGGAGTTTCTGGGGAGGGTGAGATGGGACTCCGAGATAAGCAGTCAGGCGCGTCGTTTTGTTTTC